TTGTCTTATCGCCATAGCGATATGTTTCCCCTGTCATACAGAGAGTATGGAATGACCTCAGGAGTCAAGACATGACGTAAAAGAGATGCTGCTGAAATCAAAGATGGCGGACAAAGCGTCAGACTTTGTCAATGTGGCCTTGTCCCCGTATCTGCACGTTCTCGCTAAAGGGTGCAAGACCATAAGTTGTCCCAATCCTCTCGTCGTTTTCTGCCCTCTTGCACCCTTTCCCAAAGTCTGACTATTACCCAGAATGCCTGTAGTGTTGTGCGAGTCGAACAGCTAACCAATGAGGGAAGCAAAGGGTCGTTTTCTCTTTCTGCTTCTCTTGTTCCGTATCCCCCTTGTCTTAAATCCTTTTCTCCAACACTTTTTCTTCTCTGCCCTCCCATCCTTCCTTCCTTCCTTCCTTCCTTCCCTCCTCCAGCTCCAGAAGGCCATCGAGGGCTCCACGCGCTCCGGCGTCCGGCTCCGTCCTCCTCTTGCGAGCTTGCGAGAAATCATCACCCACAACTCTGTGGCTAAAGCTCCACCGTCCTCTCCCACTGCTCCGTCCTCTCCGTCCTCCATCCCTTCTCCTTCTCCTTCTCCTGATCCCCAGCCTCCTCCTCCCTCCCCCCCTCACCTCCACCACCAACACCCTCATCCAGAGAGTGAAACAGAGGTGTGTATTGAGGGTGTGAAGTTGGAGGTGGAGGAGAGCAGCTGTAGCAGCTCGTCCAGCATGAGCTGCAGCTACAACAGCACCCTCACCCTCCCCCCCTCCTCCACTCCTCCCCCCGTCCCTTCTTCCTCCACTCCTCCTGTTTCCTCGCCTCCTCCTTCTCCCGCCATCCCTCTCTCCACCCTGACGGCCCTGCAGGGACTTCTCGAGGGGGATGAAGACAGTGATGACGAGCCAATGGTTTAGATTAGTCATGAGTGATGGTAATATTTTTTTATAATGGAAAACTTTTATAATGGTGTGAGTGTTTTCTTCTCTTCTTAATGTGTTTACCTCTTATTGTCACCTTAAAGGCAGAGCAAAGTGTGTTAGCTTGAAGCGACTTTAAAGGTCTGAATGTTTATCTGTTGTTATTTGAAGATTGTGCATCTCTCTCTCCCTTCCTGATTCTGTCTCCTCGTTTCTCTGATCTCTTTGTGCTGATCCGGCCTTATCACCGTTAACTTGTTTTTAACCTTTTGTAAAATAACTTCCTGTCTTACCTTCACTCGCTGACCTTTTACCCGCCTCATAAAAATGGGACTGCAGTTTATGCTGCTACACAGAAGCATCTCCCCCTCCCCTCGTGTTGTTCGGACTTCTTCTTTCCCTGAGAGGATTTCTCTGAGGGTTTGAACTCTGACAGGAGGAGTAGGACAGGAACTTATTTTACAGAAGGCTAAAACAAACTGAACATGAATAAGGACCAAAACTGAAAAAAAAAAGGTATTGACTCCGCCCCCCCGTCGGTCTTTAGCTGAATGTGAAGATTTTTGATACTGCCCCCTCTCTCTCTCTCTTCCTCGTCGCTCTGTTTGTCATCCACTCGAACACTTTCAAGGATCGAACCCTGAACGGTTGAGCTGCTGCGGCTGCTTCAAAACATTTACTTAAAACAATCGTCTCATTACTCCTGGTGTCATTTTTTGGTCTTGGGTAATAATAACCTTCTAAAACAACATGGAGGCTAAAAGAAGGGTACCAAGAGTTGTCATGGAAACAGGGATGTAATGATTCACTCCACTGACGGTACGATCAGGAAGGTTCATAACAGGGCTTTATTATGGTTTATTATGATTCTGTTTAAAGAAATTAAATTGATCTCAAATCATAAAAAATTAAAAAAATTATTCTCTGACAATAAAAACGCTGATAAAACCCTTTTTCTTATTTTTCTTTTTCATTGTGATACTTTTTCATTTTGAGGTTGTAAAGGTAAAAATGAAAGAATGCTTATTTTTTCAGACTCACTCAAAATATCTTTAAAAAACGAACAATGAAAATCTGGATTCTGTTGCTCCTGCCAACGCTCTGTGCAGGATTTCTTCTTTACTTCATCGTTAATTCGTCTTTGAGAACGGTTTCTATCAGACGACAGCTGGAGATATTGATTTTTTATTTTTTTTTTTTACTGGCAACAGGCCTTCTGGATAACAGCAGACTAATGGAGCCGCTCAATCCGCTGTGGAAGATTGGCCAAAGCCCCAAAACGACCTCCAAACTGTGCGCTGACCTTGTGGATGCAGCCTCCGAGCTCATCTCATCACGCTTAGGTTGATAGATGGCGCAGCTGAAGGCGGCTGACGACAGCTGAACACCCACTGCAGATATTCTCTTTTTTTTACCTCAACAAGGACACCTTCAAGATTTAACAAAAAAAAAATACTCCTTCAAAATACCAAAGCTGAGATTTCAGAAACAAACCAGCAGATGTGACGAGCGCCGTGCGTCAGAAATCGAGATAATTACCGACTAATGGAAGTCGTCCATGACAGTGACTGACAGCTTATCTGACATCGATATGTGAAATGATGACGATGATGTATGTTGACATCATTAATAAAACTTCTCGATATAGAGAAGTCAGGATGAGATTATTTCAGGATATGAAGCTTCTGATGCGAGACTTCAATCAACAAACTGTCGCAGGGTCGTTGGATGAAAAGCTTCTCGGTGTAGCTCCTATTAGCTTAGCTTAGCTTAACTTGTTGTATGTGCACACACATGTCCTGATATAAGATGTGTCAGTGAGTTCATTCAGGTTTGTGTCTGCAGCTCGGTGCATTCCTTCACTTCCGGCTTAGCAGCAGATTTTAACTTCCGCCTGTAGGTCGGGATGAGATGAATCAGGCGGTGCGATATGAGTCCTTTAAAACTGTGCAGCAGTGATCCAGTGTGTTAGCATCCCTGGAGGGACACAAGTGATGAACAGCAGAAAACAGCCTTTGTGACCGTTTACACAGAAAAGATTCTGGATATTTGATGCATTGGACTGTTTAAAGAAAGCAGGATAAGAATCTGTCAGAAAAAACACAACTTACACATGTACAGGACAAAATCAGTGAAGAGATAAGATGTACAGATTTGTCCACAGGGGGCGCCAAAATCAACACAAATCTATCTAAAGCTCTGTACAGGAGTTAAAAGTTCATACGCTTCACTGAAACAAAAACATTCAGATTTAAATCAGACAGAAAAGCCGTCCTTTCTCTCTGGCTGGTGTTCAACACATTTTTTAATTTTCTGTAAAGTTTCAAACAAATGGCCAATGATGACCTCTGCTCTCTGTCTCAGGTCTTAAAACAGAGAAATATGTACAGTTATATAACAAATAAATATCGAAGCATTCTTTAAGCTGTGCATTTTTTGCAAAGATAATAAAGTGAGGGGGGGAGCTGTAAATATGTAAAACAATGTTTGATACCACCAGAGGTCTGAACCGTCATGTCTCCATATCTTATCTTGTGCTGAAAAAAACGACCTTCCCTTTGTATGACCTTCAGGTTTGACCTCAAGATCTCGTCTTTAAGTCAAAACTGCACACAACTCGTCTTCACCGTTCACACAAAGTCACTAAAGCATGGTGCCTTCAGGGACTTCATCTGTTCTGCAGCGTTACTTTAATTTATTCAAATGTATTTTAGAAATACTCAAAACAAACACACCACACTCTGACGTAGTGAAACACACACACACACACACACACACACACAGAGCCTCTGAGACAGCTCAAAAAGATGAAAGTACTTTAACCAAGAAGAGCACTTACCTGTTTTCAGACGATGAGGGGGGCTTTAGTTTCATGAATGAGGCAGATAAGACGATCATTCAAGTGTTTCAGCTATCACCACACCGCATTGAAGAAACTTCTGCACTTCAAACAGCAGACAGATCGTAAAGTCATGCCCAGTCTGTGAAAATCTTTGTCAACCCGTGTGTCTAAAGGAGGACAGATTTGCCTTCAAACCCTTGTTGACAGTGAGGTTTTCTATGCTAGTTACATCACATTCGCTGTTTGTTTGTGTGTACAGGAAAACCATGGCGACTGAATCCGAGCGTCTTATGTTGGAGTTGGAGATGATTAATGTTGGTCAGCAGTTGCTTATTCTGCAGTTAACGCAAATAGGAAAAGAGAGGAGATGGATTGTAAGACTTAATAGCATTGTTAGCTCACACTACTAGCTAGGCTACGTTAAACACAGAGATTAATTAGACTTGGTATCTCCTGATGTGAAAATGTAGACCAATCACAGGGCTTGCGGTCTGCGTCGTTTTGACAGTTACATTTTGAGGAGGTGCACGTCAGGCTACACATATATGCTTCTGGATAGGTACAGGGCTACTCACACCTGATGGCAGTTGTTTGCTTTTATATCAATGCCACATTATCACAACCATCGGGTGCTATACAGTCTGTGGTCGTGCACGGGTTCCAGGTGTGACCACCTCTCCCTCTTGCATCCAATCTCTAGTCTTGTTGTGCTCTTTCCAGGTGATTGGAGTTGGCCTGATCTTCTGATTGGCACTTAGGCCTCCCTGTTCAGCATCCTCTGTCTCTCTCAGCTGCCGTCACCCCTCACAACACTTCACATCACATTTTCACTGACTGCTTCCTCATACTTACAGATCACCTTTGTTATCTAAAAAGTTCAAATGATCACTTTTCATCTGTGTGTGGCCTCCCTCATTGTTTCCGGCCATGAGTCAGGTGGTCACACAGAGTGGATCTAAACCCCCTCCCTCCCACTCCCTCCAGGTGAATTTTCCTGAATATTTCCTTATGTGTTCTCACATCCGCTCACTTCACAGGAAAAATGTACTAGGGCCCTGGCAAGAAAAAGTCTGGGGGGAAATGTGGCAGTTTGCATGCAAACATTCAGCTCACCCTGAACATGTTGGTACGTTTCCAGGATGTTGTGCAAAGATGAAAGCACCATAAATAAAGTTCACAGTAAATACACAGTTTTCAAATATGTGTGTGCGTGCGCTTTAGTGACACAGAACAGCACCAAGAAGATCACTTTCCCAGAATATATATATTTAACACAAACAAAGATACATTCATACATACATACAGTCTTACATTCATACTAATACACATCAGTTTATTGGATTTTTTTTGTTTTTATAAAAAGCAATTTGATATATTATTACTTTGTATACTGTGTTATACTGTAAGGGCTAGGTCACTGTTAAAAAGCATGCACTTTCTTTTGGTTGTGTCCATATCGTGTGTTTGCAAATGACTCAAAGTAGGTTCGGCACGATCAATCCGAGCAACAGATCGGTCTGCGTGGTCTTTACAGAACATCTCATGTTGGGCTCAGACCAGCTGTCAATCAAAGCTAAATGCACCAATCAGCAAATAGAACACTTTTCTGTTACGAGGTCCTGCAGAGCTGCTCAGATGAAACAAAGCTTCTTCCTGCGCTCGAGCAACTTGAACAAACCACTTACAATTATTTGCAAACACTGTACCCAAGTTTTATTGAGTCCATGTTTGTTGTATTGCACTGAATATTTAAATAGGCCCTATCTGTCCTCACCCCACATCTATCTGTTCCGTCCTGGTTCTTTGGTCTGATAGGTCCAGACTTTATGTGAATCCATCTAATCTCCATACGGTTTGTTTCAGCAGTCACTCAGTTGAAGTCTCTTGTCTGCGTTAAACATCATGTGTTCCATATCACATACGTCCTTCTTCTTGGCATTTAGTTTGTGTACATTACATCCCATGTCTGAAAAAGTCTTCCCATATTTCCTCTGACTTCCGGTGGGTAAATAGTTGGGAGGGTGTTGGGGTTGGGGATAGAATAGCTTGATTGATTATTGAAGTATTTATTCACTGTTTTTTGACAGTTTCGTCTGGTCCTCTGTGAATCAGTTGGTCGCAACAACAACAATAGAGCTCTTTTCTGCCTCCTCTTTCTCCTCCAGCAGTTGGACAACGCAGGGCGTGACGTCGAACGGTTTCCTCCCTGCCACAGATTCAGTGGTCTGTGCTGGGAATCCTGGACTGGAACCTCTGGTAGAGGAGGCGTCCTCTCTCAGAGGGGATGGGGTCAAAGAGCATGGCTCTGGCTCCAAGGTTAATGTAACCTCTTCTACCTGTAAGAGAAGAAGAGTTTCAAAAAAAGTGTTCACATGTCCTTAAATCTATCTTTGTGACCATCTTTAATCCATTGTTTTCAGAATCAAATCTTAATGATGCATTAGTTGGGGGTGCCGGTAGCCTAGTGCGTACCGGGTTTGAATCCAACCTGTGGCTCCTTTCCCGCATGTCATTCCCAACTCTCTATGTCCCTGATTTCCGACTCTATCCACTGTCCTATCTCTACATGAAGGCACAAAAAGCTCTTTTTAAAAAAAAGGTTGCATTAGTTATTACTCAGATTTGTTGATTAATAAAAACCAAGTGATTGGGGAGGTACTCCATAAGTAATATAGCCTTGTACATTTTCTTAATAGTTAAGCTTGTAGTAGTGGTGGCTTGACATTGAGACCCTTGTTATGCTGCTCTAGGCTAATGGTGCGCTCTTTAGATCTCGTAAGTAAAATATTCAGAGTTTCCGATCTGATACATCATCTGGAACGTCCGCTGAAGTCAAAACTCTGACTCAGAAGAACTTCAGTAACCAGAGTTTAAAATCCAAGATGGCTGCTCTGTGCGTTAACAAAAAGTCAGCATAGTTAAAGCGGTACATTATAGTGTTTATTAGCAACTTTGTCTTGTTTTTGTGAAATGAAAATCAATCACACCGACAGTATCGTGCATGTTCCATCTGTTTAACTATTACATAGTGTGTTGTTATCGCCTGGTATTAGCTAACACAACAAAGGTACTCCTTAAGGCATCCATGCCAGGATCTTCATTAATATAGATGAAACTTTTAGCCATTCTCTGTCTCTTCTCTAGTCTTTACTTCTTCCAAAGAAGACTTTGAAGGAGAAGCTTTAAAGGTCATAGTAGTAACTCACCTTTGTCAGCTCCTCTTCCTCTTCATGCTGCTCTGGGATCACTTCAGATTCGAGTTCCGGCTCCTCTCCGACCGTCTCTACCACTCCTCCGACCATTTCCGCCATCTGTCCGCTCATCTGCTGGACTATGTCCACCTGCAACCAGTTAAGTTTGCTCATTTCATTTCTAATCATTTTTGTTGGACTGGAAAACTTGACAAATGTTCAATTCCTAATGCTGGCATCATTCATAGAAAGAGGAGACAGACAAAGAAAGAAGGACAGGCAGAATACGAGCTCCCCTGTCCCCACCACAGTTTGGTTTGCCTGTGCAGGACATCAGAGAGAAAGAACAGATACTTAGACGAGCACCACAGACACAGATGCTGAATCCAAATGCCTAGAGTTGCAAACTTGCGGACTTTCCAGCATGCTACCCTGAAGACTGGGCAGTTATAAGGGTGACCGTTGTCAAAATTCATCAGGTCCATGTTTGGCTATCATGCAGACTTTTGGCAGTGCTCCATGCAGGTTTCTAGCCTGTCTCCTACCTTAGCGACTCCCCTGGTAGTTTCTCCCATCATTCACTGCACTACTGATGTGTGATTAATGTGCCTGCTGGTATAAACAAAGCCAGATCCAGAAAACAAAAACAGATTAGCCAGGATGAAAGCACGCATGGAAAATGACCAAAAAGGCTTTGCATAATATTAACATCCACTATGAAAATCAACTTTTTTCACCTTTGAAGACACGTGCCTGAAATATGAGATCAGATTAGATAAACCTTAGAACCCTACAACAGAAAAAGAGTATAAAATGCATTATAAGACATGCTGTCTTGCATTGTATAAAATGTTGACCTCTCTCATTCTGTAACACACACTACATGTAGATGCTTACGATACTGTATAGATATAGACTCATTCAGCACTCAGCCCTTGAAAATTGTCATAGCTGCTTTCCCACAATCTGCTAAATCTAGTCCGCAGAGTCTGTAATCTGACCATTTGGATTCAGAAGGCGATTGCCTACATGGTGTGCCTCAACCTGCGCAGCTCCCCACAGGTCAGCTAGCCGAGGGTGGGTGGGAGGACCGAGACTGTGGATGGTGCTGTTGGGAGTGGCTTGGAGGGAATGGGAGGCACTGTGTGGCCTGTGCTCCATGGGCTGGAATCAGAAACAGAGAAAGAATCAGTTGGTATTCAGAAAAAAATTAAACAAATATATTTTGAAATGTTTGATTTGGTTGTTGATCATGATCAATGGCTGAACAGTGTTTTTCTGTTCATTTGTTGCCACCAACTAGAGCCCACAGACAATTGTAGTTGTTCAATAACGGAGAATGATGCCTAGTCATGCCAAACATGACAAAGCACTTCTATTCCTCCAGCTTTTGCCAACCTTTTCCATTTTTTGTGCCTCCTTCTTGTCTCTCATAATAGTCTGCTTCTGCTTTGAACACTCCTTTCAATTATGGTGCAGCAGAGAGCATTAGGGAAATGTCTCCGGCTCTTCAGCCCAGACTGATGCTCAGAAAATTGACTGACTGATTGAAAAGAGCGTTATTATAAATGTAATTTAATATATTCAATAGTCTGCTTCACACGGGGCACCACACGGTAAAGCTAACAGGCTCATTTCCATTGTGGTCCCGGATCAGTACACCCTTTTCTGAGACACAGTCCCCGACCTTTTTCCAGTTATTATTTCATAACCCTCCATTTTTTAATGAGCTCTGAGATGTACTAATGCACGAGTGACCGAGAAAGCTGGAGAACTCTTTTTGGATGTCATGGTTCATCGTGATTCACTTCATTTGCAGAAAACCTCTAAGCAGCCTGAGAACTGGAGGCTCCGAAGCTTACTTTTAGCCAATATTTACAGCCCACACATCCAACCAGTTCACAGGGCGTTAGGCCTGTTAATTCAAAGTGGAAACATGTGAACTTTAATTTCTTTGTTTGAACTATTCGGATCACTCAGGAGGCACCTTGACACCTGTGTACCAGGGTCCTAAGTCTTTAACTAGACTCTTCTCCTCTGTCGCCCCCCGGTGGTGGAATGAACTTCCAAACTCCATTGGATCTACAGAGTCCCTCTGCACCTTTAAGAAAAGCTAAAGAGCCAGCTCTTTCATGAATACCTACTAACTTAATGATGATGGTCTCCAGATTATTGATGATGATGATGATGGTAATGACGACTTATAAGATGGTTTCTATACTGATTAGAGCTCTCAAGAACTGCCCTCAGTGTTGTGCTTTGCCTCTGGTCACTTCCTGTCAGCACCTGTGTGTCCAATCAGACTCAAAGCTGATCGTTTGCTCTTCCTGACTGTTCCCTTTTTTCTAGATCCTTGCTTGTGTTGTTCTTACTCTCTGATGTACGTCGCTTTGGATAAAAGCGTCTGCTAAGTGAATTGTAGAATTGTGTAGATATACCTGTATGTGTGTTCTTGTCTTCATGTTAGTATTGTTTCAAACAACACATTTAGGTAAATGGCGCAATTCTGTTGGATAAGGCCCAGTGTGTTTGTTTATTAAATACATGCAAAGATTAAACGTCCTCACCTTCGCTAGTCGGCAGAATTACTAGTGGGTTAAATTAAATATTAATATTTTGATATTTTTGTCCTTAAATGCATAAATGAAGAGTCAGTGTGCTGACCTGCTGTTGGTACTGCAGGAGCTGCTGCTGCTGGTACTGGTGGAGATGTTGCAGCTGCTGGAGTTGGTTGTGCTGCTGCAGGGTGAGATGAGTCTGGTGCTGTTGAAGGTAACTGCCTACTGTCCCCTCGTAGCCCTCAGCAGGTGTACCCCCTGCTCCACTGCTGCCACCTGGAACAGACATAAAAACACTTCAGAGACATATTCAGGTGTATGGACAGGATAACAGAGAAGATACTCAATCCTCACCAGCTGCCATAATGTAGGAGCCTCCACCAGGTGAGGCCACGCCCGAGGGTTGGCTGGTGATTGGGTCCCAGGCGTCTGTGGACGACAGGCAGTACAGGCCCTGTGAGACGTAGGTGTGAGGCCAGACATCCGCAGAGGAGTGGTGGAGTATCTGGTCTGTGGAGAGAAACAGATGGAAGAAGTGTGACACAGGGAGAACTTCTTCAGTTTAAAGACTCAATAAATCTGAAGTGCATCCTGCCTGGAATGCAAATAACGCCTTTTTAAACACCCCACCTGTTTGAGGATGATCCAGGTTTTGTTTTCTGGGATCAAAGTTATCACAATCCTACTCCAACAGTTTGAACAACACAAACTGGAGATTTAATCCGGATTAAAACCAGGATTTGATAACCTGATCCTCTCTGATTACGCTGATTATGTAATCCGTTTTTCTTTTGAACAATCTGTTTGCAACATTTAATCCTCCCTGGTCCCTTAAATCATGTTGGATTACTTTTAAACAACTGGGTCCTGTTCATTTACAATTAATAATATATCGAGTTTGACATGGCAGCAAAAACAACATATTTTAGAAATAGTAGAAGCTCTGATACTAAAGATTAGGAAGCGTTTGTTTGAGAACCTCTACACTGAAAACAAAAGGCCTATTCTGTGTGTGTGTGTGTGTGTGTGTGTGTGTGTGTGTGTGTGTGTGTGTGTGTGTGTGTGTGTGTGTGTGTCTGTGTCTTCATGTGGAGCTCCTACTGTGGCATGCTTCAGCAATGAAACACAATGTAAATTCACAGACCGGGACCCCAATATGACACCGTCGCAGAATCAATATTAATGTACAAAGACGTGATGACGGCTGAGCTTAGTTACGGCACATTTTGGGTAACCACTCTGAAAAGGATTGTTGATTTTACTAAACCACAGAGATTTTCAGACACAGAAATAAACATTTTTATCGGTGTGAAAGAAAATGTTCAAAGATTATATTTTCCCTTCTGTTATTTCTGGTTTGACTCAAACCAAACAAATGCACAGCTTCAGGCACATAAACAGGGGATCAGGGGAAATGAGCAACAACAAAAAAGAAGAACAGTTAAGAATAATTAACAAGCACACTTTGTTCCATGATGTAAAATATTGGAAAAGAGCAGAAAGAACAGCAGCAATGGGATTGTTTTATACCTAACCAAACAAAACAGTGACTTCAGTCCAGCCTCAGAGCGAGTCGTTTATTGAATCACCTTCTGCATTGTTAAGAAGCTCTTATTATAAATCCATAAGTATTTATTCATAAACTAACAAACTGATATCCTCATTTAGAGTAAGATAAGCCTGTCATTATCATTATAACCAATGAAGGTGGGAAACAGTGGAACAGACTATCGAGGAGAAACAGTCCCTCAGTCCTGATGTTGATATTTAGTATCTTCTTCTAATGACTCGTGCATGTGTTCAGTACGTGTGTGATGGCACTGTGTGCTAGATAAAGCACAGAGGAGGGCACATATGGTGCTGTTAATGAGAGAGAGGCTAAGTCCTTGTGCTAACCTCCAGGCTCCCTCAGGGCTGAACGGCGCTCTGCATTGCTAAACACCAGCAAGAACTCACACAGAAACCATTCACAGTCTAACTGTGAAGTGAAATGAAAAACATCTAAGTCCAGGTTTCAAATGTTTTTTAATGCGCTTCAAACAAACAGAAACTAAGCCACCAAAAAATGTTTTTATGACCTTATATGGCAGTTCCTGTGAGGTCAGACAGGGTTTCCTGATCCTCTTTCCTTCCTTTCTCTTTGTTGTGTCATCCTATGTACGACTAAACTAAACCGACGTGTCATCACCTGAGGCTCGGACGTGAATTTAAAACCGACGTTGTAAAACAAACATTTTCTTAACCTCTTTTCATACAACTGCTTTCCTCGTTAGAATACACCTTTCCCTCTAGATTATGAGTAAATGTGTTCTGATGACATCATGTAAATTCTGGTGTTTTTGACGGAGTAACCAGCGGAAGTGAAGGGCAGGAATGTGCAGCTGTGCGTCTGCCCTCCAAACGTCCTTCACAGCTGGTCAGCAGAATAACTGACGTGGCAGTTTTCAGTCTCCAGTGGGGCTCTAATGTTCCCAAACTGTGCATTTACGCACAATACAAAACATGATTGTTCTCTTGAATGTGTGTGACCATTGCAGCTTCTTGCGGTGAAGACAGATTATTTGCCATCAAGTTAAAACGTTTCCAACTGAGAATTGCAGCGGTCTACTGTCACAAACCCTCCGAGCCTGAATCTAACATTCACACTGAGAAACTGTTTGCAGAACAAACTGATGGAAGCGATTAAGCTGCAGTACCTCTGCTCGTGATGCTCTCCTGGTTGACCTCACTGAGGTGAGCCACACTGCCCTGGTTGGATCCGGCTCCCATACTGTCCCCGTCCATCGAGTTCCAGCCGAACAGAGTCGCCTCAGAGATCGCAAACTGCTGCATGATGCCTAGAGAGGGAGTCAGATCGCTGTTAGCTGAACATGGTGGTACTGACGTTAGAAACAGTACACTCAGTCCAGAGATGTATGGAAATAAATCCAATCTAAATCTTTCTTCCTCCCTGCTGCTCCCTGAACTCTGCTGCTCCCTGAACCCCCCTCCGCTAACCCTACTTGTTTTTGTTTTTTTAAGGACATTAGGGACGTCTGATATCATGATTTACTGTTTAATTTGTTTATTCCTTAATTTGTGTTCATTTCCTATGTGTCTCTATTCCCTGTGTGTATTTTCCTGTTCATGTTCCTGATTTTAGTGTTTCCTGTTTTATTTTGTAGTATTTTGTAGTCTGGTGTACGTCCTCCCTTTGTGTGTTTCCCTCCGTTTCTGATTATCTTCACCTGTGTCTTGTCTGTGTCACCTGTGTTTGAATGCCCCCTGTGTCTAGTCTTTGTGTTTCTTCCCTCCTGTGTCAGTTCATTGTCAGACTCTTCCCGTGTTCCTTGTCGATTTTCATTTTCCTCGTGGCTAGGTTTTGTTTTCGGACTTTTGATGGACTTTTGTTTTTGATCCTTTTGGACCTTTTGTTTAATACATATTTTTGTTAAACTGCATGTTGGTCCTCCACCTTTGTTTATGAAACTTGAGACTTGTGACACTTGTTTTAATTCCCACATGTGTCAAATGATTTTGATGCATGTCTAACAGGCAGGTAGCTGGTCTTTAGCCTCGTAATTATCAGAATATTTCTTCTTGTTTTCTGTGTTTTTTCATGATTTAAAGACTCTGTATCACCTGTAGGTTCAGGTCTCAGGTGCACCCTCACCTGCAGCGAAGCGGGCCTCCTTCTCTCCGTCACTGAGGTCGCTGTAAGCGTCGTTCTCCAGCCTCCTCTCTTTTTCCCTCTGCAGGTTGGTGTGCCCCGCCACCCCCATCGGCCCTGCGGATGGTTTGCCCCAGCTCTGCCACTCGATCATGTGGGCGACTTTACCCTGGGCCATGGCAGTGGGCTTGGTAACTTTGTCCTTCATGGAGCGACTCACACCTACAGCAGGTACGTGGCGAGACGGAGGGGCACACCAGCAGCACACACACACACAACACACAGCACACAACACACACACACACACCCACACACACACACACAACACACAACACACACACACACAAAAACACTGTCAGAACTACTTCTGGCCTCAGCAGTTGATGACTCCTCCAACTGAGGCTCGGGGGTGGAGGGGGTAGAATGATAATGAGATGAGTGGATGAAGAGAAACTGTGAGGAGTGAGGTTCTAAATGTAAAGGGATGGATGTGTAGAAGGAGTTTTATGACAGGCTGTGAGAACACGGTGACGACCTTTGCTTTAAAATGATGTAGTGTCCTGTTTTAAGAAGATTTCATGGCGGCCAGTTTGACTCGTTATGAGCAATCCGGGGTCATATTTTTGGGTTGTAAGATCTTGAAATAAGATGTTTATCTGGACTCTTCAGGTGAATGTCGCTTTTTCTGCTTGAGATTAGACAAATACACTTGGTAAGATTTGTGTTTTTGCAGTGCATCTACACCATCTTGGCTTTAAAGCTTCCCCCTTTCAAATATTTGTTGTGTGTTTAAAATCAAATGAGTCATAGCTCACCATTTATTCAGACCAGCCAGGTCATTATCTGCTATTTTACCAGATAACGACGACACTGAGCTGAGAATATGACGAGCACCAGTCAGACAAAATGTCATGCTGAGGTGAACTCTTACAGCGGTGAGTGGATGAGTGCCTTTAAACTTATCGTTTAAAAATGTGATCTTTAAGTATCCTTCTCTCTCTATCTTTTTTGTAGATCTTAATCATGAGAATCATGCTCACACAGTCGATCTCTAATGAAGATTTTTGCTGTTATGTCAGCTCCCGTTGCAAGGATGTTTGACTTCACATTAGAACAACCTGAGGAGGCTGAGGCGCGTTGTCCCGATGTTTAAGATGTCTACACACCAAAACAGGCTAAATATCTAAATAACTGATTGCCTTTGTGCTCCCCTTCAGTTTTCTGTATTAGCAGGAGAAGGAGACGAGAGACAGCTGAAACGCTAACAAAACCATATTAATGATAGAAGCCCTTACTCATCTCCTGGTAAACAAAATAAATGAGATTCATTAGACTTTGCGTGATTAAAAACGTGTTAAAGAGAGCGAGAGAGAGGCAGGGAGAAGTAACGCTCGTGTGTAAACAGAACGCTAAGAAGGGTCCACCAGCAAATCTCTGCCCAATTAAGATGCAAATACAGGATTCAAACTGGGGACAAACACACTGAGACAAACGCTCGCAGAGAGGCTTGATCGATTAAAAAAATTAAATTAAAATCAAACAGGCATGAATAAACAGAGACAGAGCTTTTGGAAATAGCTCCCCCAGTCCAGAGGGCAAGTTGCAGGCCGAGTTATAAATAGAAACTGTTTTTCCCCCTCAGACAAAGAGAGCCCATCTCATCTGAAAATCAAACACTCCCAGCAGAGTCTAATTGGGGATGGAAATAGGAACAGAAAGAATGGGGATGAGAGATGAGGGAGGGTGTTGGGGTCTTGGCTTTTCAAAGGATTTAAAAAAATAAAAAAATACAACTTTACACTGTAAAATTAAATCAAAGATAGACGACAACAAACACTGAGGTGCTACACTGAAACACTGCAAAGCACAGAGCGCCACAGTCAGAAGCACAAAGCAGCACACACGAGGCGACGGCCACTCAAAAGACACAAAAAACTGCACAAACAGAGTCACAAATATTAAGGCCACACCGCCGCCACGTTACAGAGACTCTACGTTTCCCAACACGTCTGTGGAGATGCTTCAGTAAGTCTTCAAAGTAAGTCATCTCACTTACTTTAGCTCGTTTGAAATAAGAGGTCTGATTGGGTTTCCATCAATGACGAAATGTGTCTGTCATTGACGTCTGCTGTTGATATCAATGAAAGAAGAAGAAGAAGAAGAAGGGAAAGTAGGGAGTGATACAGGAAGGGGCACCCACAGGGGCGGCCATGTTGGTTCCAAGCTCCTCCTCTTCCTCCCGCTCGAGGGTGAAGTTGTCTGTTGAGCCACAGTTGGATTTACGAAAGCCGCCATTGATGGCAAAAAATGAAAAGATAATTCCTGTTTTTCTCTCCAAATGTCAGAAGATTATTCAGAAACAACGTGGAAGTCATGTCAGAGTTTTTAACCCGACAAGCAAATTACATTTTTGAGTTTAAACTTGGACTGTTTCTTGGGTTACGCTCAGAAATGAATGCATCATTTTTTTCCTGTCGTCACAGTGATGGAAAAGAACGACACCTTTGTGACTGTTCCCTTCAGTTTGTGATCCCTAACCACTTCCTGTTTCTGTGGTGTAGTAGTTAGTGTCTTAACCTTCGATCTACCAGAAGTTCATTATTTTCTATCAAAATAAAAGTAGCTTAGTTTCCAAACAGGAAGTAAAAAAACCTTTAGCTTAAGGCCGTACAAAAACTGTTTTGAAATGAAAACCACACATTGATCTTTTGCTCTGATGCAAACAACCCGCTCCAAAAGAAACCAGAAATGATCTTTTCCACTAAAGGGACTGTAAGTTTGTCCGTTCAGTTCTCAACAGCAGCTTCACCCTCGAGCTTTCTGCGGAGCATGTGGAGGCAACATGGGGGCTGTTTTACCACCTAGCAGCACAGACACACACCTGACACACCTGTCAGAGAGGACTTAGCCAGGGCACCGATCCCGTAGGAGTTGGCAGACTTCCTCTTGAGACGAGGCAGAATGGAAGTAGTGTCCTCCATGGACAACTGAAGAGAGAGAGAGAGGGAGGGAGGTGAGGTGAAGTGAGGAAGAGAGGATGCACGAGGGGAGGGGGAGGGGGGGCATTTAGGGGATAGAGAGAGAGAGATGAAATGGAATAAAAGAAAGTGAGGTGAAGAGAGCAGATAATTGAGGATTCAGCAAAGGGTTAGAGCGAGACAGAAGTTATGAGAGAGGGAATAAGAACGGAGGGTTAATTATTAGGACACCTTGTACATTTCTGACAGAGAGCATTGAAAAGAAGAAGAGAATCGTGGTTACACTGTGTCCACAAGGAGAGAAAAAAAAGGCAATTCATCACATTTTAAAAGAACAACAACAGACTCTTCTGTCAGCACAGCATCTGATGAAGTGAGGAAATCAATACAATTACAATCATGATTGAATTGAATCATTAGTGATGGATACAGGATATTCTTAAGATGTTTTTGTCACCTTTGGCTGAAAAAATAGAATATCAGACTCCAGCCTTCATAGCATCATTCTACAATCAATCAGTGAAAATGCTTCATCCACTCTTCTTATAAACAGTCTGCGTCCCAACCGTCATCGACCCAAAAGTATTAAAGGAGCAGTATGTAACTCTGACCCCTAGTGTTTAAAATGGGTACTACAGTCTAAATTCTAAACATCATAGAGAGCTGTCTCTCCCCCCTAGGATCCCCTATTGATCCTAGTTTGAGCACGTTTCTGCTCGTGGAGCTTATTAGAAACATGCAGAGGCTTTTTAGGTCGGGTACAATCACTTCTATCTGAACCACTTCTCTTGACCGCTTCCATCACTGCAACACCTGTTGACCTGATAACTGCTCTCATATCTGACAAACAGAGGGGCGTCCAAAACGGCCGTGTGGGGGTGTCTTAAAAGCGCCTACCTTCTCTGGTCCAAACAAATCCAGAGCATTCAGGAGCAGAATCTAAAGTTAGAAGGAGGACATACTGGCTGCTGCATTGTTGTCAGAGAAGCCAGCACTTCAACATAGCATGTTTCCTTAATGATCAGATACCTTTATCATTTACCTCTCTACACATCTCACTGATTGGACCTTTAAAAACAGAATCCTAAACCCTAAAAGACACAAATCATGTTTGTAGATACTCTATCAAAACACATAAACCACCACGCTCAGTGTTGTTTGGTTTCTGCTCGTCTTCCTGGCGCCAGTGCTCGTGGCAAAGCAACCTGCACACTAATGAACACAGAGACAGAGCCTGGCTCCTAATGAGGTCCTGCCAACAGCTAATTATAGTGGAAAGTAGCATGAAAACATGTGGACTCTGTTACACAGGGGGGTTTGTGCTAGATGTAATATAGTGATGTAGAGTGATTTAATTACTCTATACAAGCTAACTGATGTGATTTGGTCCCTGTGTGCTTACAGCAGGAGTGTTATTCAAGTGTTAGCCCGTCTGTGGTGTACTCTTAGCGTGTAAGAAAAACATTAAAACAACAACAGAGTTCAAGAGAAATTTGAATTATCGAGGCAGATTAGCAGGACAGCTAGTTTGCTACGGTTAGCGTCACATCTTAATAAATCTAGCATGCATGCAAATGTTCACATATCCTCCTCCTCTTCTTCTTCAGTGTAAATAAGTCTCAGAGCTCCTCAAAACATGTGTGTGAAGTTTCTTGTTCTAAATCCACTCTGATCCTGTATGTGATCATGTCTATAAACCCCTCTATTTCAGCCCTGCTCAGAACAGGCTGTTTCTGTGTCTGTACCTTTAAATATGTAAATGAGCTGTGTCTGACCACGCCCCCTCTCTGGAAGGGCTTGGGTGTACTCTGTGCTTTCTCGCTCCATGTCCTATTGTTTACGGTGAGAAGGCAGACTCAGAGGGCTGAACAAACACCTAGCTGTGTATCTTCAGCTTTAGGCGTCCAGAATAACAAATCAAGTTGAGTGTTTGCCGTTTGTCTGGTGAGGAAAAAGACAACGGTGTGTGAAACATTAACCACCACAACGCCACATCTACTTTTTATTTCTACTGCACTGGGGAGGAAAAACATGTCACCTCAGGCTTTGATGTATCATTAGAGATAATAAGAAAAAAGTTCTGTGTTAAGTAGAGCATGACAAGCTGCCAGACGAGCTTAATAACAGATACTCTTTATTTGCCAAAATGCTTTTTTTTAGCAATGAAGCTAAACTTACTACGCCCTGCTCCGCCTGCCTAGAATAACCCACACCTGATTCCTCCAGACTGCTGCTGCTTTAAACAGATTCGTGCCCATAAGAGATGATTTGCCTCCAAGCGTACTTGAGTCAACAAAATTCACGTTGTGTAAATGATTTCTGCTGAAAGTGCAGAAACAGTCGAGTGGCGCTTCACTTCATCACGCAGAGCTTTCAGTGAAAAACTGGGACTTCAGTCGGGGAGAAGATAAGCTTATTACAGCCTGTTATCTGTGACTCTGTGTTTATATGAAGCTTGCAGGACAGTAGATTAGCAGAGGGCCGAGAGAGGAGACGGATGGGAGGGAGAGTTTACCGAGAGAGAGGGAGAGAAATAAGAGAGAGGGAGATAAGGGGGGGGGGGGTAAACAAGTCGGATGTCAACTTATGTACTCAAAACTCAGGTAGCAGGTGAGTGATAGGGGGGGTGAGATTAAACAAGGAGACTTACATTGATGCCTTCCCAGGAAAACTCGGTACGGCCAGGGGGAGGGGGGGGGGGGGGGGGGGGGGAGTACAGGTACAGCAAAGGCATGAGGAGAGGATTTGAAAGAGGGAAATGGAGTTTTAGGTCAGAAAAGGTGGATTTAAGCTTTTTAGTTAGAAATGTCATGTTGGATTTTCAGGATCTTAAAGACTGACTCACATTTACTCTGGAATTCACTTTTCTTTTCTACCTTGGACACATGTGGAGAAGCTCTGGTCTGAAGCTGCATCCAAAAGTCAACCTTTGACCTTTGAAGATCAACAAACCCTTCAGGCGCGTTCGGGTTCAACCATCGAAGAGTTTCTTATTAATTTGTTTTTTGAAAGCGTCACATCAACCAGTAAAAGTAGAAACCTGTGTGTGTGTGTGTGTGTGTGTGTGTGTGTGTGTGTGTGTGTGTGTGTGTGTGTGTGTGTGTGTGTGTGTGTGTGTGTGTGTGTGTGTGTGTGTGTGTGTGTGTGTGTGTGTGTGTGTGTGTAAATATACACAGAAGCAGCTTTAAATCCAAACGATTTACTGTAATAACATGTTTTATATTTATTATCAGCTGAGTCTGAGAGCAGTTTGTTGGAGAAACAGTTGAGTTATTTTGTGTCGTCTTTGTTGTTATTTTGTGTTTGTTGTTGTTATTTTGAGTCGTGTTTGTTGTGTTATTTATTGTTGTGTTTGTTGTGTTATCAGCTTTAAAATCCCTCTTTGTCGCTCCACACTGCTCAGAATGTTTACGTAACCAACGGATACCATTCAGCTGTTTCCAGGGGCAACAGCAAATCTGATCCTTGGCAGAAACCTGGACCCCATTAATTATGTGTCGTCATATGCAAACACACACACACACACACACACACACACACACACACACACACACACACACACACACACACACACACACACACACACACACACAGAGGAGCATACATTAGTCACATTGTGCTGTGGACACAAAGACAGTGGAGCCGTTTGGAAACTGTCCAGAGTGTTTTAAGTACACATCTGTCAAAAGGATTCTTCTTCACATCAGGCGCTGCGTGGCTCTGCCCCCAGACTTCCTCCTGCGGCTCTTTAAGCTCGTTATCATCGTTGTGCTGTTCACAGATCACAGGCCGAATGGGAGGTGAAACGGAAATGCCCTAAACTTCACGTCTAAGTAAATCCAGAAGTTTGTCTCATGAAGCTGCTGCTGAGACAGAGACAGCCGAGAGATAAATGATTTTTTATCAATTACTACTCATCTAACAAATTCAAAATATAGGGAAATATTCTGGAGTCATATTTTAAATAAACGATAAGATCTTTATGAAGAACATAATGACAGAAGCAGAGTCTCCTGTAAACGTGACCTTTAAAATAATCTGACTTAACGGAGGATTTATCGTCTTTAATTGAGTCCAATTTCTCTTTCTCTGTCTTAATTTTTAAATGGTAATATGAACTGACGTGTGCAGGACCCCGAGCATGCTGCGTTCAATTAAAAAATATTAATGGTGGTCATGAAACTGGAGGTCATGACATGTTTCTCTTCCTGCCAATGAAAGGCGTCTGATCCAACCTTCACAACAGGATCCTACGTCTCCTCTGTCGCCCCCTGGTGGTGGGGTAGATCTGATCATCAGCGTTGTGTCTGTGAGGAGAGTCGGCTCTTCAATGTTTTTATAGATAAGAAATCAAAGAATGAAAGTAATGGAACAGACCAGAAGTCTGTCATAGGAGTATTATTACTCCAAGCATGGGACAAAAGGTTATCAAAGGAAACAAAACAATAATAAAAATGCTAATTGGACAATATCACGGCGTGCAGGAGACGAGAGATCTCATGAGGTTTTATCACTAAAAGAATAAGAAGAGAATCTGACTGAGCTCTGCTGGTTTTTATTCCTCATCAGGACTCAGAGACTCTGTAACAACAACATCTCCATGAGTGATTCTGGGTCGGACTGCTTAACTTTCCTCAAATACAAGCGTCTGTTAGTAAATTAAAAAAAATATGTTGTGTTGCCGCGGGCGGTGTCTTCACTGTCTCCATGTTAAATTCATGTCAGAGACGTTTGTGTTCATGAAAAGTGGATGAGGAATAATCCTCCTTTAATGAAGCAGAGGCTGAGATATCGGAGATTCAAAGAGACAAAGCACAAGATAACTTTTAATAATAATAAA